TGGATTCCCTCACCCTCCCCAAGGCCCCTCCCTGAGCTACAGGACAAGAGGCAAAAGAAGCACAGGTGACAGCGTGGATGTTGTCATTGTCCCCCAGTAAGAACAGCCCCCAAAAAACTCTCCTTCTGCCCAGAGCACGCTGATCACTCCTCTGTGTGATCGCTGCATTGCAGGATCTGCTGCTGATTTCTGATGTTACAAAATGCACTAGGCAGTGTGACTCTAAAGGTGTTTAATCTTAACTGTCCTTTAGATCCTTAATTTCACCTCTTTCGGGTCCGTATTGCAGATTTGCAAAACCCTAAGCTTCAATAAATTCTCTCAAAGAATAACTGGATCATCTGCTGGTTTTTTTCTCATCAAGACTTTGTTTCCCTCTCAAAGTTTTCATCCAGTTCTCCCCATTGTGCCAAATAATTCAAATATGGGGCATTTAAGGAAGATAAACCTGCCTTACAGGTGCACACGTCACAGTTCTGCTTCCTGAGCTCACAAAGAGAGATAAACCAAAGGAGAAATATCCCTTGTAACCCGTAATGCTGAGCACTTCCCTTGAATAAGAACTTGGAAATATTTGGAAAAAATATTTTACATGTGCTGAGATACCTCTGCAATACATATAAACTATCATAATCTTTCCATGGGTCAGGTTTTGTTAGGGAAGGTTAGAACTATAAAAAGAAAATTGTACGTTGAAATTTACTTCATTATAAGCATTTGCTTCGTTCTTTTTCTTTCAATACGTCTTCAGACTATATCACTTTGAGCCAAGAAAGCGTTTCTGTACTTTAATGTTAAACTGTCCTACTTGGAGGGACTCAGTGGGGAAAAAAAGTGGAAATTAATAATTTTCAGTTCATGATAGAGAAAAATACCTTGTTGACTGCAGAAGCCCAGATCTCACAGGTCTCCTATGAAGGTTCAAGGTCTCATCTCCTTCCTGGTGCTTGAGCCTTGGCATCGGCTGAGCGGGTTCACTGCCAGAGTCCTCATCCTGCAGGATGCTCATCCTGAGCCAGAGTGTTTCCTAATCACACCTAGCTCGTACAAAACTCCATCACACTCACAGCACTGCTGCTCTGCTTCTCAAAGGTAATGATTTCAAGCGCCTGAAATCACATTTTCCCTGCTGTTGCGTTCCTGGGTGCAGGCAGCAAGAAAAAGTGCGTGTAAAGGCACGTCACAACCGTGAATCCTGTTCCTTTGAACTAAAATGCAGGCTGATTTCTCTTCTGAGGAGCTGCTATTGTAAATTCCCTTCCCTACAGTCATTCTCTTCTCATTTTAAGGACTTCCATGAGGACTTTATGGTCATTTTCTTTTGAGGTGGGAGAGGAAATTCAAAGTGGGCCATTAACACTTCAGTATCACCTGATACCTGAAAACATCACACTACCTGAACAGGGGCTTTAACACACAAGATTTAAAAACATTTTGAACACTCAGATTCGTAGAGGATGAGAGAGAGCATTTCCAGAAGTGAACGAGAATTCAAATCATAGACTCAATCACAGAATCAGCCGGGTCAGAAAAGACCTCCAAGATCATCAAGTCCATCCCTTGATCCAACACCCGTGGTTCCCAGCCCATGGCACTGATACCACAACCAATCTCATCTTAAAATCCTCCAGGAATGGAGAATCCACCTCCTCCCTGGGCAGCTCATTCCAATGTCTGATCACCCTCTCTGTAAAAAATTTCTCCCCAAAATCCAGCCTTGCCAGGCAACATCTTTATACACGTATTCAATGCCCCCATGCTTAAAGGAAAGTGTAAGTACTTTGTCATGATGAAGAGACAGTTGCATTCAAAGTCCTTTAAGTGAGTTAAAAATCAGAGAGATTTTTTTTTAAATGCCTATGCCTGAGATTAGAAATATAGGATCATTACAGACACATACTATTTTGTTTGCTTATAAAACAAAATGGGTTTGTGGGAGAAAAAAAAAAATTAAAGAAAGGTACCTGGATGTGTTTCAAGAAGATCTGCGTTGTAGTTTGGCCTTCCTAGGAAAGTTGAAAGCATCCATGTTTGCTCAGCTGCGGGAGCAAACGTGCTGGAACGTGTTCCATGCTGGAATGGGACACGCAGGCAGTGCGGGAAGCCTGGCTTCCCAAGGTCAGGTAACAGCACATCTGTGCCACTGGCACCCTCTGGAAGCTTTAAAAACTGGGAATCCACTGCTGCAGAGGGGAAATCCTCTGGATTTCAAGAGCTTTGGTCCTTATGAAAAGACAGACAAAAGCAGGGTAAACATTTTGGAACAGCTACTCACTGGAGTTGTGCTCAAAGGAGTTGAAGCTCTTGGGACTGTGCTTGTCTCCTTACCCCAGGAAGGAAAGGCTGATTCCATTTTTTGCAGCTTTTACTGTGGGACTAAGAAACTTCTGTCTGCAAAGTATCTGCAGTGCAATCCTCTTTTAATCTGTGATGGACATGAATTCAGCCTTGTTCCTCCAATATATCTCTCATGACAGGTCTATTGTGGCAGTCACACTTTACAACCTGAGGAATCCTCAAGGACAGGGAATGATGTGCCCAGTGTAACCTAAAGGGATAGGTGGGCATGAAGGTGGGAAAACCAAGCTCTGCTGACCAGTTTGCTGAGAGCAAACGTGTCTCCCAAGGGAGTCTGTCAATCCCTTCTGCAGCATTCCTGCTCATGTCAACACATCCAAACAGACACTCAACTGGAAATCAACTGGAAAATGTGCTTTGAACCCAGGAGAGCTGACAAAAGCACAGTTCAACTTTCTCCACACAGTGCCCAGTTTAAAAACGGGCACACCTGCTGCTTTCTCATTCATATCTGTTAAAAAGAACAGTAACTGGGAGATGAGGCCCTCCTTCCATGATACCACGTACTGGAGGATGATTATGAAATAGCAGGAGGTATAAAAGTTAGAAAAGCCAAAGCCTACCTTCCCCAGCTGCCCTCAAAATGCAGGGACTCAGACAGTTCCTCCTCCTTCCTCTCTTCACTGCTCTGGCTTTCACTGAAGGCAGCTCAATAAAATCCACAGGTATGGAAATCCAATCTTTCGTTCTCTGTGAAATTTTATTGGGTTTTGCCCAATAGGTATTTTATAGGCAACTGACGGGGAAAATATTAAACATATCTCTAAAAGTGCATCTTATTTTAATGTATTGATGCAAATTGTAACACCTAAATGTTCCAGCAAGCATTAAAAATGTTAAATAATGATTAAAAAAAAATCAATATATTACTCCCTATGGCAAATTTTTAATGTAAGAAGTTGATTTTGAAGGTGCTTCACTCTGGAATGGAAATTTGCTTTTATAAACTAATATTACATTGGAGTAACGTGGAACCAGGTGAATAACTGGGAAATGGTTGTTTTTAAAAGGAGATTAGTTAATTTTTCCCTTGTTCAGCCAGAAGCAATAAAGAGTTGTTTGTTGTTTGATGTGGGATCACCGTTCTGTGCTCAGGTCAGCAATTTACCTGACTAAAGGTGGGTGGCTACTGCAGGATGATGAAGCTTTTCTGCAGAGCTGCTCCAATTGTGTCTGCCTACAGAACCCCAGAAGGATGCAGAAGGGCAGGGCTGGCCTTGCAATGCTCTTACAATTAGGAGGTGGCACATGTGGTGAAAAAAGTATTTAAAAGTCTCTCCTAAATATCTCTTTTCCCTCTGGAGTCCATCAGAAACCCTGAACCTTTTTATCTGGGACTGCATAGGCCGTATAGAAAATTCTTCTGGCTGTTTTAGACAATTATTTTTAGATTAATATTAAAGTAGAAAGGTGATCTTAGGCTCAAATTGGATTACAAGCTTTCTCTAAAGTTTCCTATACAATGGTACAGGAAATTCCAGAATTACTGAACTCCTTCATGACTTATTAAGCGATGTCAGTGATGTCAGACATAGCTGGGTTGTGTTTTTTTTCATAAGAGAACTAGGTTAAGTCCAGGTAGCCCCACATGCTGAACCCAGAAACAGTCAAGAGAGGATGCTCAGGCAAAAATATGGATACAAACCTGCATAATACTTCCCTAAAATACTCTCCCAGCCACCAGCAAACGTGGCTCACGGCTTCTGAAACAGAGAAAATGCTGTATTTGTCTTTAATAGGTAACAATGGCTTTTTCTTTCCGAGATTTGACCTGGTTTATATTTTACTTTTACCTTCCCCATCACCCTGCACCAAAGATTCATGTGCAAAGAAAAAAAAAAAAAACAACTACAACTTACTGGTTTCATTCCAGGCCACTTCGTTGCTGTATTGGAAGAGAATATCTTGTATTATCAATTTATAGACCTCTGGCACCTCCCTTTTCCCCTCATTCTCTGACTTCCAACCTTCCAATGCTTCAGTCCATTTACTTATTCCTTGCCTGGAAGATATTCTAATCTCCTGATCATTTCTGTTGCCGTTCTCTGAAGCTTTCCCTGTTTGGTAGTGTCCTTCCAGAGATGAGGATCAGGATTGTGTGCAGCAGTAAACACAAAATGATCCTACACATAGTCCTGTAGAAGTTCAAATCTGAAAAGCTCAAACCAAAAAAAAAAAGCATTTTGGTTGCCCAGGTGTAGGTTCCCAAATTCTTCTAAGTCAAGGGCTGAACCTCAGGACCAGATCCAAGGATCTTTGGGAATTCAGTGTAGGGGAAAGATCTTTAAAGTGCTTGTGGTGATAAACCTTGCTGAAGAGAGTTGCTGAGGTGTCCTGCATCACTTGGCACTTCCAGCTTTGCTGCTGGTCTGATCTGTGTGTTTTCTTAACTGTCCTTTTTCTCTGCTACTAGGAAAATTAGGTTAATATTAGTTTCTAATATTCTTTTACCGTTTGATTCACCAGGTTTCACAAACTGTAGTAATACAAATAAATAAATAAATAAAGCAGAAAATTATTCTTATCTGTTCCATGATGAGCTGTCCCAGAGTCTTTCCATAACGGAGGATGAGATATTATTGCAGGAGAAAACTTGAGAGATCCTTGCCAGCTGTTTTTTTGTGGCTGCTGTTCTTCACCAGGTACACCTCACTGCGGGGCTTCACTTCATGAGCTCAACAAAGCCCTAAGGATTGAACTGAATGCAAATGCAAGCTGCACCTGGCAAATTCAGAAGAATGTAAATCAAACAATTAGGCTCATTTTCTCCTATTTTAAGTAAGTATTTCCTGCAGGTGCTTTTGTACTTTTGTACAAAAATGGTTTAATTTTCTGGAATGCACATTTTCAGGTCTTGTTGAGCTTCTCATGCACCTGCAGGTCCTTCTCCTTGGGGATGCTCTCAATTCTTTCCCTTCCCAGCCTGTATCTGTGGGATTTGCCCAACCCATGTGCATACATTTATCTGTGATCCTATTTATCTATCAGTGAGCTCAGGTGTTTCTCACCTGTTTTGTTTCTTTTTTTGTTTGTTTGTTTTTTTTTTCCCCAATAGATTTGCTCCTTCTTCGAGCTGTGAAACAGAAAGCATTAAAGTGTATGATGGTCCCTCAACTCATTCACCTCTTCTTGGACAAGTGTGTAACAACACTGATGCAGTCCCAGTGCTTGAATCATCTTCAGGCAGTTTAACTTTTCTCATAACAACAAACTCCGTGGATTTCACACGAAACTTCTTTGTCTTCTACTACTTCTTTTCACCAGAATCAAGTAAGTCATTAAATTCCTCTTGAACTGCACCATTCAGGGAAAGTTTGGGACTGCAATTAGAGACCATTAATAGAATCTTTAATTAGTCTCACTCAGGTCTACGGGCCTTAGAGAATGGTGTGGGGCAAAAAAAGCAATGAAAGAGGCCACAAACAGTGCACTTGCAGAGACACTAAAAGGTTAAATTTTGCTTAGAAAAATTATGACAAAGGCAGCATTATGGGACTTACTTACAGCCTTCTACTAAATCTACTCAGTTTGCAAATATTGCAGCATTTACCCAGAAAGAGAACTTGACCATCCAGTCAGAACTCCTGCTGAGTACAGGTCATAGAAGGCAGAAAAGGGGTTTCGCTCAACAAGCTCCTTTTTTCCCTTAGAAGATAAGAATAGCTTGGACAAAATTGATCTCAGCTTGTGAACAGTCCCTTTGCTTCCGCTGACCTGATGACATGGTATTAACCCCTTAAAATCTTCAGTTTTACAGAGTGGTCACCACATCCCAGTTCATGCTGCTCCTGTTTTTAACTTTGCTGCTGAAAAATTGTGCCCTATTTCCAGTCCACACTTGTCTTTCTGAGATTTCCACTGACTTGATTTTTTTTGCCTCTGTCTATCAAGTAAAATCTCTCAAACTTGCAGATTTTTCCCTGCCATACAGATCATGACCAAGGTTTTACAGATTTCTGTAATACACAATCTCTCAGGGTTGGTGTAGTACCTTTATTATCAGATTTCCAAGAGGGCACCTAATTTACCCTAAATGTAAAAACCTTTAACCATTTCCAAAATAATGGAACCCTAAAGAAACAGTCCTTCCACTTACATAACTTTAGATATTATTTTTTTATGACCTATTCCGTTATCAATACATCTGCTCTTCTTTTATCAGAGCCTGTGAATTGTGGGGGACAATTAACTGGTCCCAATGGAACATTTAGCAGCCCCAACTACCCAGCACCTTACCCTGCATTCACATACTGTGTCTGGCACATACAAACACCAAAAAACTCGAAGATAAACCTACAGTTCCTGGATTTTTTGTGAGTAAACACCCTCATGCTCTATTACTCTTCATCCATTCTGTTTAAAAGCATTTAAGAAAAATTATTTCTTCTACGGAATATAGTAATTTTTATGTGTCTCCCATGTTTTATTTGGTTTTAACAAGGCCTGTTGGTGCGTTCTGCTGTTCCCCATTCTTTTATTTCGGCTGAGTGGAATTCACCAGACACTCAATCTGCCCTGGATGCCCTGCCCAGTATGAGCAAAATTATCTACACTCGGATCTCCCTGTAATAATTTTCCCTCTGTCTACAGCCTGGAACTGGACAAAAACTGCCAGCTGGACTTCACAGCAGTCTATGATGGCCTCACCACCACCACTGGCTTGATAGGGAAAGTGTGTGGCCGTGCCCAGCCCACGTTTGAATCTTCTTCCAACGTGATGACAGTTGTGTTGGCCACAGACTCTTCCAGCTCCTACAGGGGATTCTCAGCTCAGTATTCCAGTGTTCCACTGCCAGGTCCCGTGGAGCCCGACAGTGAGTGCACTTGCTACCTCAGGAGGATGCTGGTTCTTATTCTCACATCTGCTTTTTCCCTTAAAAACATGGAAAATAACTGATGGTTGGCACTAAGGATTTAAGCCTGGTAGTTGTTCATCTTCTTTACACACAAAAATCCCATATTAGTCTCACCCACAGAGCATAATTACCTGACCCATCTGCAAAAGAAAACCTGTTCTCTCACTTTTGGGTCCTTTTTTTCTGGCTGGCACCGCTGAAAGTCTGAGTTTTTCCTGTTTTTTGGACAAAGCAGGCATAGTTACCGTCCTAGAGATGCAAAGATAAACTCTTATTGACTGGTTGGTTTAAATGGTTTTGTTCCCTGAGATGCTCAGGAAAACGGCCTACACTGGTTGGTTAAACAGGGTTTAGTTGTGCCATAAGTTTCTTTCTCCAAAGCTGGACCATTTTCCTTATTGGTTTTAAATGTTTGCATGCCCATCTTGCCATTAACTCTGGTGGAAAGGGAGGCTCTAAAGTCTAAAAAATAATCAATTTCCTCACCCATCATTCTGCACTAGCACTGATTCCTTTTCCCTTTTTTAAAGGCAGAGGTTCGTTCTGTGTTACTGGGTTTAAAATTAAACTTTCAGGGTGAGTTTTACGTGGCTTTGCTTACAGTTTTGAAGTTGAGCATGAAATTCTGTTGCAACTTCTGCATGACCTCAAATGTACATGAGCTACCAAACGAGAAATGACCATGGCAGTTTGTTGCTCATGTGTTTCTGGGTTTTTGTTTTTTTTTTTTAATTTCTCTTCCAATGGCAGCATTCCTTACATGCTCTTCAGACAGCATGAAAATTGTCTTGAGCAAGCCTTACCTGGCCTCCCTTGGCTATAATGAATCTCCCCTGCAGCTGATTGATCCATCCTGCAGACCAGTTGTGACAGATTTGGTGACATTTTCCTTCCCACTGACCAGCTGTGGAACAATTAAAAAGGTAAGGGGGGAAAGAAAAGTTGTAACTTTTGAATAAGTTAATAACAGCTCATGAATGAGAAAACTCGTAAAAGCAGTTTATGATTTAAGTTGATTTACTTTCAATTAACTCATCCTATTGCATGTTTCCTATCTTGAAGTAGGATGAGTAGTTTCCCTCTTTAAGAACCTGATGATCAATGAGCCCTTTAAAGGAAGTCCAGGAGGATCCATACAAATTAACCCCCCAAAATCCTGAGGAGCTAAATCATAGCATTGTTCTGCTAAGGGTGGCTGAAGTGCAGCTTTGGTACTTTCCACACTCCATGCAGTATTCCTTAACCTTTTTGCTGCAAGGGTTGCTTCAGTCTTTTGGAAAAACAGGAGGATTGATAATGTTTTTGGTTGCAGCCTGTTCCACATTTCCAAGGTATCTCAAGGCACAGCTGGGCAGCTTTGTAATTTAAGTGCAATTGCTCTCAACTGCTCTGCTCCTACAACCACAGCTGAGCACCTCTGATGGTTCCTCCTGCAGGAGGAAGGTCACAGCATCACTTACACCAACATCATCTCTCTCTCTTCGACTGGGAACGTCATCACCCGTCAGAAGAACACAGAGATTATTGCGAAATGCAAAATGGAAAACAACTCAACCTTAGAAGTCTTTTACGTAACGAGAAATAACGTCATCCAAAACATAACTGCCATGGGGAGATACAATGTCAGCATGGCCTTCTACAGCTCAGATTCCTTCTCTGAGCCCGTTCATCAGTCCCCATACTATGTAGACTTGAACCAAACCCTCTTTGCTCAAGTCAGTCTTCAGTCCACTGACCCAAACCTGCTGGTGTTTGTTGATACCTGCACAGCATCTCCACAACCTGATTTTGGGTCGCCGACATATGACTTAATCAGAAGTGGGTAAGACTCTAATTTTATTATATTCTTCTATAATACAATCTAAATTTCAAAGGTTTTATATGTCCTCCACTCACCTTCTTTAGTAGGCTGTGGTTGGAAGCTGAGTTTCAGAGAAATTTAAAGTCATTACATAAAAAGAGGCAGGAGAAACATTCACCACATCATTGTGTGCCCAGATATGAAAACAATGCCCTAATTAAATGCTGCAGTTACAGACAACAGGACTTAGCAAGAATGATTATTGCATGGGGACTATTTTAATAGATCTGTAAATCCCATTGCAGCTGCAATAAAGATGACACTGTGGTGACCTACCCGCCCCTTGAGCACCGTGGAAGGTTCAAATTTAATGCCTTCAGGTTCCTGAGGAGCTTCCCATCGGTTTATCTCCAGTGTGATGTTGCCATTTGTGACAGCAACAGCTCAAACTCTCGCTGCACCAAAGGCTGCATCTCCAGGCAAAAGAGAGACATTTCTCCTCACACGTGGAAAACTAACACTGCAGTGGGTCCCATCTGCCTGAAGAGAGATCTCAGGTCTGCTCAGCACTCAGGTAAGATAAATATATAGATATTTAAAACCTCATTTAGCACTTCCACGGTGTAAATCAATTACCTTCATACCTCTAATGAAAAAAGTGAATGAGACCAGTTCAAAGCAAACGAGGCATCAGAGTGAGGGGTTCAACCAAGTTTGTGTTTTGTGAAGCCACAGCAGCACTTCTCAAACGGGCAGAGTGGGGGCCTTTCGGGTTAAGATGTGCTCTCGAAGCAGAAAGAGCAGCCCTCACTCCTGGTTGCAGCAGTGTCTGCAGGATCTGCGTTCATTCAGAAAGGGTTATGAATGGCAAAACATTAAGCTCATTTCTCAAGACACAGACCACTTAAAAACCACGTTCCAAATGATATTCTGGCTTGGTTATGACCTGCATGTCTTCCAACGCTGCACTCAACTCCACCCAGTTTTATTTAAGTTGCCATTTATTTCCACAGTGAAAGATTCTGCATCCAGGTGCATGAAACTGGACACATCTGTACTGTGAGCGGGGTTCAGGTGTAATGAGATCACACCCGAAGTCCTGTAGAGCACAGAACGAGTTTTACTGAGGCCAAGTTAATAAACCACTAGAAGACTCAGGGTTAGAACCACCTTTTTTTTGCCCAGATTTGCTTCAGCAAATGTCTTAAACCCCTCTGGTTGTAAAGAACAGTGACAGCACAGCTTGGCAGAACCTTGGCTGCAGCAAGCCCAAAGAACATCGTGATGCTCTTCTCCAACAACTGTTTTATTACCAATTTTTACAACTGTTCAGTGCTACATATTCAGAATTTGTACACTGGGTGGGTCAGCTCCTCAGAACAAAAATACCTGAAAAATGTTTATATCATTTCCCTGGAAATGCAATGGTATTCAAAACTTTAAACACTTTTTTTTTTTTTTCTCTACACAGAATCCCTCACTACAGCAGACACTGAAGAAACCCCAAGCCTGCAACAATACAATTTCTACACTTTTGCACTTGTGGTTTTGGTCTCAAATATTCTCATTGTGGTAGCTGTGACACTGAAACATCACAAACACCAAGCAGGATACAGTTACCAAAAAATCCAGAGCTCATTTTAACTACTTGAGGAGATTTTTGCATTTGTGTCAACTCCTATGCAGATTTATCACCTGAAGAGGGAATAAACAAAAATTGTGAGAAAAAAAAAAATCTACAAATTAACAGCATTGGAAACCAACACCACTTGAGTAAATATTTCAACTTCTCTTATAATAAAAAAAATATCCAACAAACACCAAATTAAAAAACCTCTCAACTTAGTACTCTTTTTTAACTCTGAGTTGAAAAAGAGTATGTGTCTACCTCAGAGTGTTTCTTAGAAAGCATGTAAAACCAAATTTTTACAGGTATAAAGTACAAGAAATTACAATCCTTTTTTCTTAAAAAGACCCAACCAAACAACCAAAAAAAACAACCAAAACTTTTTATCTTCTCCAATCACTTTGAAACCGCTCCTGGCAGGAGTTCAGCTGAGGGACAACTGCAAGATGTCTGTTCAAAGCAAACTCTACTCTCTTCCCAATCTGCTCCTGAGTTACAACCCTCAAGACGTGACAGTCTCCTTAAAAGACATCAGTTTTCCTGGAGAAGAAAATATTAGGCAGACTAAATAAAGATATTCAATTCTACATGTCTGTGCTGCTTGTTGAGTCAAAGTATCCCCATTTTATTCCCAAATGTCTTTGCACCCAACTTAGGGTTTTACCACAAAGCCCCCCCAGAGTTCAAGTTAAATGCTGCAGCCCAGAATCAAAGAGCAACAAAAAGAATGAAGTTTGAAGGCTGACCTTCCAAAAAAAAGTGAACTGATTCTGTGCAGGTAAAAAAGATATGCAGTAACTCAGTTTATTCAGAGGTCAAACTGAAACTGGGGGACTGTTCATATGGCTTTCAGCACGTGTTCTTGAAATAAATAAGCCACAAAGGGCATACAAAACTCTCATATTTAGGAAAAAAACACACATTCCTAAGATCTTTCATAAAACTAACAACTGTGTGCAACAGTGGGTAGAATTACAGTAACAAAATGCAAGTTAACAACACTGAGGTTTCCTTACAGCTGTAAATTCATAAATACTAAGCTTTGTAAATGTAATTGCCCTTAAAATATTTACACTGAAATCCTACATCTCTGTTCATCTCTCTCCATTGGAAAACCCTTCGTTAGAATCATAGTGTGCTTGTGAAATTTTGTTTGGCTTCGAGTTCTGAACCAAGTCCATCAAGAGAACCATTTTATTGTCTATGTGTGCCTGAAGAGCCTGGATTTGCTGATCAATATAGTCCATTAGCTTTTTCTCCATCAGATCCATATTTTTGGAGATGATCTTCTCCAAATAGGAGCAAATAGGCTGTTGTTCCACTCTGTAAAAAGAGCAAATATAAGAGTTAAATATAACCTATTTCTTAATGACAAGGAGCATATTAGAGATTTGGGCACTTGAACTTCTTTTAAATGTAAAATCTCATTTATTAGGCAATAAACTATATTTATGAGCACAATAAAATACTCTGCCTACCACATTTTAAATTTCTTTTTTTTTTTCATAAACATTCTACAGTATATAGTCATCTTCCGTCAACCTTATTTTTTCAAAGGCTCAAGGATGCATTACAGAGCTTAGTTAGACAAAACAAAACCCACACAACTCAACAGTACACACAGAGTTCAAATCCTGTCAGCATGGCACACTTTGTCCTTCTCAGCAGAAGTGCTTCCAGAATTATCCAAACTATGCAACTCTTTGGTTTGGACTGCATTCTTCAAAAACACTGCGTTCTTTCAGGAGCTGGAGATATTCAGGCTCTATTGCAATCCCAATTCCTACACAACATTCCCATATCTCACAATTTCCACTATTGTTCCTTAGGTATCAAAGTCTGCTCCAGAAATGCCAACAAAGGAGTAGGAACAGGTACACATCAAGTACAGCAAAAAGGTTGGGTCACATTGTGGGGGAAAAGGAAGACACAGGGATTTGGGAGGTAGAAAGAGTCAAAATGTAAATGTAGTGAAAGACAAGAAAGGCAAACTACACGTGTATGGAAATGCAGGAACATACTTTTTAAAAATTGTAAGAGGTGAAACGGAGGTAAAAGACAAACAGTTTAGTAGCAACAAATGATGTGATTTGTTCTGAAAAAACTCCCACGTTCAAGCAGCCCGTCTGAAAAATTGTAACCACACTCATTGCCACACAGCCTTTAAAACCACATACCATTTCAGATTTGCTGCTGTTGAAGAGAATAAAATTACTCATTTTGCTTAAACCAGCCAATAAATACAGTAAAGCTACTACTTTCAGAAGTATCACAAACTCAACTCACCCAACACACTGAACGCCTTCCTCTTTAGCCACTGAGTTTTTCCTGAGCTGCCTCTCTCCATCCTTTAGCCGGAGGTGACTCACCTGACTGCATAAGTTTTGAAGAAAGGGAAGAAGCACCTGTGGGTTGGCTACATTTGGGCTTTCACCCGCTTGTTCCTGCACATGCAAAGATCCCACGACTTTCAAATCGTTTCTGAGGTCAACTGCATTTTGCTGGGCAGCAAGTCTGATTTCAGAGTCAAAAGCGTTCCCTCTCTCGGGTACCTCTGTGTTCAGATCACGACTTATTTTTAGGTCTTTATAGACTGTTTCACTTGTTAAATGATTTTTAAGGGGCAGAGGTTCACTGGCTGAGTGACTCGGGGATGACTGGACAGCTGCGCTGCGCAATCCATCTATTGCACGGTCACCTCCAAAGTCGGAATTCTTCCCCAACAGCCAACTAAGTTTGTCTCCAAGAGGTAAACTGTTCTGATGGGAAGAAAAATAACACAATTAATAATACTGAAATAGCCTGGAAATTATACAGTAATACCAATAGATATAACTCAATATTCTACTAGTGTGATGTAAAGATTTTAAAAGCAGTTCTGAATTACATTCTTATGGAAAAGCACAGGAAGATGTTTTTGCTGTACATATGATGTGTTAGTTATCTTGTCATTCTCTAAGAAAAGAGCTTTACTGGCTTTTTAACACAGTGTGTCCCCAGGACTGAACATTTTTAACATCATATGGATTCGGGATTCTGTTGGAACAGTTCACTCCACAGGATCAGGATCTCAGTCAAGTAAATGCTCTGTAAGAGCACGTTCCCTTTGATTGAAGGTGACATAATGACCGTAAAGGTCAAAACCAGGCCATCTACCTACATCCTAAACATTCCAGGGAATGTGCCCACCATCCTTGACAAGCAGTCACAGTGAAGTTTAATATAATAATGAAGAGTTATTAACTCTGGCCTTGGTGTGTGCACAGTGATTCCTGGAGCACACAATCTCTCCTCACTGCACTCACGCGAGTGGCAACAGCTAAACCAGGATTAAAGTGGCAGAAAGTGTGGGTTAAAAACAAACAAACAAACAAACATCAAATCTTTTTCACTGTATCAATTTAGAACATTCTTAAGCTGGAAAGGTCTCAGGTCAGTAGTGTTCATGCTCACAGAAGAGCACAGTGACTTACCTTCTGCTGACATCGGACCATGTCCATGAGCTGCTGAGCACCTGGAGACAACTTGGATCCCATGGATTCCATTATAGTTTGCACTCTGTCTAGATCTATGCTCGAGCCTAGTGAGGGAAAATCAGTTGCTAGTTTTGCAGACACTGCTTTCACTTCTACAATTATTTTACTGATGAGTACTCTCTGTGTCTCACCAAAGGAGAGCAGCTATTGCAAGAAGAAACAAAAAATATTTTGGTTAGAAAAAAAAACCCCCCACAGTTTCAATTTCTTTGTACGTAGGGGACAGTGCATTTGAGTCTTGGGGGAAATTATGCTGAACTCTTTTCCAGAGAAATTCAGCCCATTTCTCCTTGCTATTATTCCCCAGAAAATTCTGACTGGAATGGAGGTGCCTGAGTGCCCCAAAGATAAATCAGGCCTTGATCTTCTAAGCATGTAAGAGTAGTGGCCATATGATTTTCAAAAGCTTATCTAACCACATCAGAATTAACAGTTCTAATTACAGATCTGCAGTTTACCTGATTTATGATTTTTTTCCTCTAATATAAAGTTTTCATGAAAACTGAGATACAAATTCAGAAGAACTCTGCTATCAAGACAAAGTACCAACTAACAGATTTTTAGGTTGTTAGTTGAAGGGTATAAAAGCCAATAATTTGATGAAGAGCCATGCAATTTAGTCAATTCAGGGACTAAAAACACCAAGGAAAATAAAACAATTGTGTTTAATTCCTTACCTTAATTCTACAGGAGGGTGAAGGGCATTCAAACTTATGGTACTTGTGGTATAAAGTAACCTCTTCGGTTTCACTACAAAAGTAAAATAAATGAGCTGTGACATCAATACACAAAGTACTGCTGTTATTTGTAGAAACAGACTATATTGGTGAATATTTAGGTAAGAAACAAGACTGACCCAACATATTTCTAATGCTGTTTTAATGTTTCTAATAGTTTTAGTTTCTAGGTTTGAGCACCTTTTTTGTTTCCAAAGGCAGTTTTAATGCTTACATGCAACTTGTGATGAATCTTACGGAATACGTACATAAAAAAATTAGTTGTACGTGTACACGCACTATGTACTAGAGAAGCTTTTGAGGCTCACTATATTCTTCACACACCTTCCCTGAGGCTCTGGGTCCTCTGTTTTCTATTTAGCTAATTAAGACGTGCCATGTAATGACTTACAAACAAAATAGAAACGTTGGTTTATTCCCCCCGGCAAAGTATGGAAGGAAGTATCGAAGGGGAAAACAAAACTTTCTTTTTTTCCTCTCTTTTTCCTTAAAGTGTGGGATGACTACTTATTAAAGACACAAGAGATCTTTCCCTAAATCACAGAATGGTTTGGGTTTGAAGGGACTTTGAAGACCATCTAGTTCCAACTCCCTTGACATGGGCAGGGACACCTTCTGCTAGCCCAGGTTGCTCCAAGCCCCGTCCAACCTGGCCTTGGACACTTCCAGGGATGGGGCAGCCACAGCTTCTCTGGGCAACCTGTGCCAGGGCCTCAGCACTTTCGCACGAAGGATTTCTTCCTCATATCTAATCTAAACCTGTTCTCTGTCGCTGGGAAGCCACTCCCTTTTGTCCTGCCACTCCGTGCTTTTATAGCCTCTCTTCATCTCTCTTGACGGCACAACTAGGTCACCTCAAGCCTTCCCTTTTGCAGGCTGAACAACCCCAATTCCCTCACTCTTTTTAAAAACATCGTGTCTTTCACAGCAGGAGCCCCTGACAGAGATACACACACACACTCAAAATACGAGGCTGCCTGGGGGCCGTGAGCACCCCCGTCCCCCCCGTGCCCCGTACTCACCCCGTGTCCGGGCGGTGTCCGCGGCTCTGTCCCCGCCCGGTGCCGCAGTACTCCTCTCCCACGTACACCTCCATGTTGCGGGCCTGGCTCAGGATCCCCACGGACACCATCGCGGCGCCGGGCCGGCACTCCAGCCGCAGCTCGCAGGGCTCCTGCCCGCGCTCCTGCCGCTCCACCACCACGGGCTCTCCACTGCGAGGGGGGAAAAAACCCCACATGGAAACCACAGGTGTTGCCCCGCCAGCCCCGCCGCCGCCCGGCCCCGCCCGACGCCCCCTCAGCCCGCCCGCCTCCCCCTCACCCGGGCTCGCCGTCCGCGGGGCCCCGCCGCACGCACAGCGCCCGGGACAGGCCGCCCGGCGCCGCGCAGGGCCACGAGCACCGCGCCCACACGCAGCGCGGGCCCCGGGCTGCTCCTTCCTCCTCCTCCTCCTCCTCCTCTGGCTCCGGCTCCTCCGGTCCCGGCGGGGCCGCGCGGCCGCTCCACATCGCGGGGCCCGGGGCGGCGGGAGCGGCGGGAGGAGCGAGCACCGACCGGCCCTCAGCGGGAACGCGCATGCGCCGCCCGCGGGATCCGCGCGTGCGCGCCGGGAGAGGCACCCCTGGAGGGCGGGGGGGGGGGGGGGGGGGGGGGGGGGGGGGGGGGGGGGGGGGGGGGGGGGGGGGGGGGGGGGGGGGGGGGGG